AAGCCGATCTCAAAATGGATAAAATTTCTAAGATGAAATACTAAGCCTGGTTTCCATATGGTCGTCCCGGTCGTCCCAGTCGTCTCAAATAATGTTCGGACGATCGAAACGATCACATGGAAACGCTACCCGGACGATCGCAGAAGATGCGGACAACTGAGACGACCTTGATCACTTGATCACTTGATCACTATCCGGACGATCGGGACGATCGTGCAAATTTTGAAACGATCATATGGAAACGGTCTCAGACGACTGGGACGATCGGGACGATCGAAGGCTATCCCAGAAATCATCATTTTTATACCAGTAATCGAGAATATATTCGGCCTGGATGGCGCTGAAGTCAACAAAGTACTACAACATGTTCGCACCGCGTATGGGCGCTATTAATATTTGAAATTAGAGAAAGTCCGTGACTTCAAGTTCTCGACGTGATAGTATGTTTTCGTCGAACTCTTCTAGCTTCTTGACTCCGCATAATCGAGAGAAAAAGCAGATAGAAAGGGACGAGGTTGGTTCTCCGAATAAAAATCATAATCATTTAATGTTTGGCTTGTTTGCGAAACACGCGCAAAAATTCTATAATTGTCTCACTTAGAGACATCGCTAACGACCCCGTGTCTCTTGGCTTTGAGGCGATCGAAACGATCACATGGAAACTACCAATCGTCCCAGTCGTCAGGATCGTATCGAAATTTTTTGAAACGGCTAGGGCGATCGGTACGATCCGGATGATCATATGGAAAGCAGGCTTAAACAAGTACATAAATTTTCTTTTAAAGACGTGATTTTCTTGACTAAAGAGTACAAAATGTACCTGAAAACTTTTCAAAAACTCCGATCGGCTGTGAAGAAAATTTCGTGAATTTCGAATCCCTAGAAGGACAATTTTGTAAAGAAGAGCCTTCCTTTGTTCACTAAAAGAAAACTAATCATTCTTTTGAACTTTCCCTTCCCTTCTCTGTGTCCTTTAGCGGTGTATTTTTAGCCTTGACATGCGAAACACTGGTCTTCAGTTGTAAACCACCGCCTGAGATTAGAGTTGTCTCACTTTTGTCTCACTTTTGAGGATTTTTTTCTAGGCGTCACATTTTCGCTTGGACCACGTGACCCGAAACGCCTTGACGGCGCGGAATAATGACGCCTAGGGACTAGGCAATAAATATATATCGTAAATGCCATTTTATTATAAAAAAAAAAAGCAGGGGCTTTGAAGCAATCCCGGAAAAGGCGAAATATTTTGAATGAATAATTTGTTTCAATTTAAGCAGTTGATCCTTACAATAATGCATGTGTTGACTTTATTAAAGACAAGGTACGTGGATATGGAAATACGAAAGCTACCTTCTGACATTCTCAAGAAATTATCTGACCAGCTCGACATTGATGGTCCTCGTAACTGGAAGGCCCTTATCAGTGTGATGCCAACTGGAATGTATTCAGAAGAACAGGTAACAAAACAGCTTTTAGATTCCTCTCCATAGGCCTGAGAATGATTTCCAGTTATATGGTGATAATTTGTGTGTGATGATTCCAAGGAGGATTGAAGGCATGCAAAAGTTTCTAAGCAGTACTTTCCCCAGTAGGTACGTTTGATTTATGCTGTACACTGTGGTCGTAACTGAAATCCTAAAAAAAACTTTTGTGATTATTCAGTTGAAATTAGAGCTACTGAGCAGGACTACTTTCCTCGTGTTAAATGTGGTGTTTAAGAGGTTGTAGCTTTTGAGTCTGTGAATCAAATCCTAATATATAGATTAAGCCAGCCTGCAAGCGAAGCTTTCGTTTTACTACGTATATTAAAACCAATGAACGTAAGCCATGGCAAAGAAATCCACACACCTATATTTAATTTTAGGAGCTTTAATTCCGTTTGCCTTTTGAGGGAGGGGTTAGCCGATTTAATAAAAATGATATCCCAAAAAAAGACAGCTAAAATAATAATAATAAATCTTACATCAAACTTTAAGTCATATTTACAGCCAAAAAATCACTATGAAAAAAATATGACCACATAAGAAGGCTAGTAAACCAATACTTGTTCTAACTCTTGGAACGATCTTTCTTTCTTAAAAGGAAGACCTAAATGAAAATTGGGCCGATATTTGTGTTCGCTGCAAGCTTATGCTTTCTTACCGGGCCCAAACGAACCGAGAAAAGGTCTTTGAAAAGAGACCGTGTTAGATATTCAGGCCCTGTGCTAAAAACTGTAATGATTATTTATGATGGGTAACCTGCACGTAATCTGTACTAAATGAAATATCGACATCGGTACCTCCTTATAAGAGGCTAATGGGGATGTGCCGCTGGATAGGGTCGCATTTTCACGACTGGTTTGATTACAACGGGGTCGCATTTTCAATAGAGTTACTAGAATGGGGTCGCACATTTTCGGATTTTTAGGGGTAAGACAGTTCTTAATACTTACGGTTAGCAAACGTACTAAAATGTTTGTACTGTAGGTGAAAAATAAAGTGTTCTTCATTCCATTTAAAATATGGGTCAATTCATAAAAATAAAAAGTGACGTAGCTGGGATCGCGAAAATGACTTATTTTTCTAAAAGTGACTAAGACGGGGTCTATAATAGGCCACAGAATAGACTATAATGGGGTAGGGGCGTTGAGAGGCCAGCGGCACATACCCAGCAAAAATTAGCCCAAGTAATCCCCCGGTATCGATAGTCCGACTTGCATTACGAAAACCTTTAATAAACTGTTGTGTTCGGTTAGGTTACGTCATTTGAAAACCAAAGAGCAAGAATGGATGGAAGTCCTTCAATGGCTTTGTTAACCGACTTAGGCCAAAGGGCTAAGACTGTTCGACAGCTTGTTGTTTGGCTGAAAAAAATTGGGAATTGTCAAGCCTTAGACATTTTGGAATACAAAGGTAAGTTGATATTAATTAGGCTAGTCCACAAAAACAAAAAACAAAGAAACAAAAATAATGGTGCTTACTGTGGTGATGTAGATGCACCAGTTACACATTATTCTCTATACAGTTTGTTTTTACACAGTTTCTTTTTTGTTTACTCTGCTTCTTTGTAGTAGTCTTAAAATAAAATAATACTTCTTGGATTAACTTTGTTAACTATTAGTACGAACTTATTAATTATACACATGTACTGTATTCATAACACAGAAGAGGTGAAAATCATCAAACAACCCAAGTCGCAGCTAGTCAGAGTGGGTGGGACTGTTACCTTGAGATGCAGGGCCACAGGGTACCAAGCTCCACAATATCAGTGGGTAAAAGATGGAGCAAAACTCCCAGATAGAATTGATAAAGAACTTACCCTGAATCCTGTGACACTATAGGACAGTGGAAATTATTTTTGCCTATTTGTGCGCATTAGATCATATATTCAAATGCTATTTTGCGCCTTATAAATAATAAATTATGATTATCATCATTATTATTTTTATATTGCCTTGTGTCCAATCATCTTAATGCAGGAAAAAGCGATGCACTGGATTTAGAGGTTTTGCCACCAACTTTCACTACTTCTGAAGGTAACGTTTTACTCTCCTGTTGTTAAGCTTTCTTGCGATGCTGAAAGGTTTGACGCAGTTCCAAAGAAACGTATTAGAAACTTTCGATTGTGCCGAGCAGTTAATCGCGAGGCAAACTACTAATTTAATGGCCGCAAGGGCGCTTTGGTGGTATTGCGAGCTGTTTGTGGAAAATCGCTATTGATGCAGTGCTACATCGATTGTTCCTGGACCTTGTGTGCGAATAGACCTTTTTAGCTTGTATGTTTTGTTTTTCCAATTCGGAGCACGTGACACTCTCTAGGTACGTGGATGCACGTGAATAGGACGAGATTTAAAAGAAACAGTTCTCTTGGGTAACATCACATGGTCTGCAATGGGAAAACATAACATACAGGCTAAAAAGTCTATAAAGCGTTTTCACTCACGTGGGCAGCATCCATGCAAATTTATAGGAAAAAAAGAAAGCGTTTACATAAGAAAAGAGTTCAATTTCCACAGGACTGGTTTGGTACACCAACTTGGCCGCCGTTTCATTGTTTTGGAACACCAATATGGCCGCCGTGACGTCATGTGAAAACGCTCTATTATTCAGGCGGGATCGATCATCTCTCCCGAAAGTTCTATAATGATTTCTTTCAGCTTAAATAATATTCCACATCGAGGTTTCTCAGAAATTATTAGTCTATAGCATTAATTTCTCTTTACTTTGGCGGATGAGATTACCTTTAATTAAATATAAAAATTGCCTCATGAAACTTTATATTTGATTTTAAACTGAAAAAATAAACGAATAAGCTTAGTTAAAATTCTGTTATGACTGTCTGCGCTCGTTAATGCAAATCGGAAGACAACGATTTTAACTTTAGGCGCCAGCCCTTGTAATCACAGTTAGAGACGTTCGATCGGATTGGTTTAAGTGAAATCCCATGATCAAATTTCAACGGGAACAGTTAATGGAATCGCTCTGTGCCAGAGGTTTTTTCTAGCAGCAAATAAAGGTCCTGTGGCCGACACCGAGCTACCCCGCCGCACGCGAGAAAAAGCTTCTGGTACCCAGGGTGCAGGTTATATCATCAATTAAAACATTAAAAACCTGTCAAACCAGTAATACTCTGGCACAGCAAAAGAAAAATTTATAAGATAAAGACAAAAGGCTATAACGTCATCGGCTCTGTTTCCCCAGAAAGTAACAGTTTCAGTAACATAACCACTTGAATTGCTCTCAATAGCAAAACTGGTAAAAAATTTAGGTACCATTGCATCCGTTTTCGAATGTGATGTTTAATTTACATTATATGTGTCTTTTAAGCTGAATTGTTATATACTGTACATTGTAACAGGCTCGTTTTATCAGTTGTAAACTTCACACGATGACGGATGTACCGTCGAAACATGTTATAATATGTCGTTAAACTGAGTTATGTCCTTTTTTTTTTAACCTTCTCGGTAAGGCATCTTCAAGGAAGAAAGCATTGAGGGCATTTTTACCAGTGAAGGTGGTGTAATGGCTGGAGGAAATATCAGGCTAGTGTGCCCCCCTGGAGCTCTTGACGATTCCTTGTCTGTAACCATAACATTAGAGGATCCGTCTAAGTACTACAGTTTGATAGTTCAAAAGGATCTGGAAAATGACGTTAATATAGCTGCACCCATCGTTAATCTACAACCGAATGGCCATTCTTTTAGGAAACCTATAAAGCTGACAACTAGTTTTAGAAACATGAATTGGAAATGGCACGGAGATGATGTTTTCATTTTGCATGGCACTGAAGCTAGAGATGGAAAGGTCAGCTGGCAAGACATCACTAAGAGTTCAAAGATTAATGAGGCAGCCGGAGAAGTTGAGGTTGAACTGAAACATTTCTCACTCATTATGGTTCTGTTACGTTGGACCTTGATACGTAGTAAAGACATTCTGTCCAGATTTGATTTGCTGTCGTTTGATTACACGTTACTGGTGCTGTTGAACAAGACGAGTCCCTCATCTGCACACGACATGCTTGCTCTACTTTTCGTGAGCCAAGACGTTTACCACGAACAATTCTACAGAGAGGACGAGACTTCAGCTTTGGTACAGCTTAAGAAAGAGGGTTTTATAGAGGTACATGAACATGCCACTGACAGACTGGATAAAAAGCGAATTTACAATCATGAAAACCTTCAAGTTAGTATTCAACTCGGGGAAGACTACAGACTCTCTGATAGCCAGCACAGAAGTTTTAGTTTCGGTGTAGATTCCTTGGTTTGGTGGAATGGAGGAAAGGTAATCAAACTTCCTCTGGAATGGAGAAACGAAGTGAGATATCTCTGTGGGACAATCAGCGTGAATGGAGAAAATGGGCACGCGAGCAAGAAGCATTTTAGTGAAGGAGGTAAATTTGTTAGGTGCTTTAATAATGACTGTTTATTAAGTCTCATTGCAGCAATATACAGAATGGCTGAATTACCGAGCTATTTACAAAACATATAATACTAAAATATAATACAATAAATCCAATAAATACTAGAAAATATAATTGTACAAGCCACTAGGTATACCTATGCGTGACAAACTCTTGCGTGCGCTTGGTCCTACAGGTAGGACGTTTGGAGCGGCTAATGCCAGATCTAACATTATAATTATGAACAACCTCCTCCTGTTTGAGGAGCATAAAATGCAAGGGGTGATTCTCATTCCGGAGTCTATCAATATAAACCTGGCATAGATGGGCGCGTCTGTCACTTAGAGTTGTTAAATTAAGGGCATTTAATGCCTCGTTGTAATTCATTAAAGGAAAATGATGCGCATAGCCCTTTTCTGAATGCTCTCAATCTTATAAGATAGAAAATCTGGTATATTTTGCCAGACAGGGGCAGCATATTCTAGAACAGGACGAACGATGGTTGTATAAACCTTAGCCAGTGAAGCTGGAGGTGCACCACATTGCTTAAGGACCCGTAAAGAGTAAAGCCTCCTGTTTCCCTTTTGCACTATAACTTCTACATGATGGTTCCATTTCAGGTCATTATGACTCTCTCAACTGTATTACTACCAATTACAATAGGATTCACAATAGAATCGCATAATTGAGTAAAATCTCGCATTCTGGTTGGTTAACGAAGCGAGGTATTTAGTGTGGAATTGCGAGATGAAAACGAGGCTAAGCAATATTGTTTCGCATCTACGTAACAACTATCGTCAAATTCTAACACAGCAACTGCAAAAAAGGTTTTCTACAATGTCGTTTTAAAATGTTTTGAAAACCATTGTCACCTTTTGAAGAGTTAAAAGCAAACAAAAGCATTTTTTTATAGTGAGCCGGATGTTCTTCCTTGTTTTGAACTGAACTACAAGTTCTCGAAGAGGCACAAAAAACCTCTTTCGCTCGCGACAACGAGAAAACAAGAAAATCTTGTGAACACGGCCCAGAAAATGGCAAGCCAAAGTTCAACCAAACAAAACGGAGAAGCGACAACGGAGGAAGTGCCGGGTCGATTGTCACATATACAGAAGAAGAAATAAATACCTTCAAAGACGACATGGCCCCTCAGTGAAAACACGAAAAAGAGTACGCCGCTTGCAATCGTTCAGTATAACAGTATACAATAGATGGCGGTGGTGCCTAAAGATCCTCCTTATCTTAGTCTCCATAGTTAATCTTTAAAACATGAATTAAATGCGATTCTCGCGAACGAAACACACGTAAGTCTATTCATTTATTTGACCACTCATTCACTCACTATCGTAACCTTTACTTTGGACTCTTACCTCCGACCTTGACGCAAAATAGGGGTAAACATATCATTTAATAAATTGTCTCCAAAAAATTGTAGTGACACGACTAGGTGACCCCTCTTATGCCAGTCGAGCATCTTCGTCAAATTCTTTAGGCCAGTTATTTAAACGTACATTGTAGTTAAGCCAATGTTTAACTAAACCTCGTTTTAAGCCATTTTCAATGTACCCAACGGTTTTATCTAAAAAAGCCATATAATGAATAACTTATTAACCTCGTCCGTTCGGTCTTTTTTGGCAGGGACATCTCAGACCTCGGCGTTGATGTATTGACCTCGCCATTGCTTGGTCAATATAACAAGGCCTCGGTCTGAGATGTCCCCGTAATGACCTCACTCTCGCTTAACAAGTGGTATGTTATTTTTTCACAGATCTGTGTAATTATGTAAGGAAGTTACTGGGTATGGAGGGGAACATCTTTAACGTCGTAACCATTGCAAGGCTGCTTGAGATGCCTGAAGAGTTAATGCATCAAGTCACCAGTTCTTGGGAGGACGACTGCGAGCAGTTGAACCTCTCTTTGCAACACTGGTTGGAGAAGAGTGCTGGAGTAGAAAATCTTTCTTCTCTCAGAAAGTGTCTGGAGGGCATAAATCAAGAAGGTCAGTGGTGTTTCAAGCGGACTTGCGGCGCAATGGCTGGTTTTTTTTTAAATTATTTTAAAGATATCTAAATTTGTTACTTAGTTTATTAGGATCGGTGACACGAAATTTATCAAAATCCAGACAGTTGAAACCGCCACCAAACTGAGTGAAATATAAGAATAACTTCTCAAGCAATGAACAGAAGGTATAAATAACACTGCAAATACAAAAGGAGGCACGGATGGACAAACTTGAAGAGGAATGAAACGGATTGAAATAGTGGCTGATGGGTTTGGAAACTTGTTAGCGTAAACGTTTTTCAAAGTTCAATTTTGTTTTTTGTAACAATATGTTTGAAGACATTTGTCTGACAGGAGCTGTGATTTTGTCATTCACAATTAATTTCGCACGTTTCTATAGCCAATATGGATGCGTTGCTGTCATTAATTATTAACAAAATGAACAGCCGTGACACAGTCCCCTTAAGTAACCCTTAAGACCTTCCTGTATCCTTTCTGGACCTAAATTTCAAAAAGGCGCCCAGTTCCTAGTAGAGGAAACAGTTTACCAATTTTATTCTGTGATATTCTTTTATAATACTCACTAGAATACAATGTAACATCAAGAGGCCAGATGCACATCAGGCGCTTGAGAAAACTTGCCACCAAGATAACTGACTTACAACTCGTTAACACAGATTTAGTGAGGTATTTTTCACGTAAAACTACAATTCTTTGCAACTCTGTGTTGAGAGACTGTTGCCTGGAGTTGAACCAGGATAAAGCCTTTTCATCTTCCAATAATGCAGATCCTTTAGTCAAACAATTCATCGAGAATCGTCAACCAATGCCAGAAGATATTTCTACAAAATATAAACTGGTGTGTTCACCGTCAGATGAATCGAGGACCAGCATTTTCCTTGCCATTGTTCCCCATCTCATTCAAACCATCAAGGAAATCTTTGTTGACCGTAAGAGGCTTGTTCCTCATAGTGGCTTGATTGGACTTCGTGAGGACAACGTAAATCAGTTGTTGACAAGCGTTTTGAATGCTCGACAAAACAACAGATTCCGGGATCTTGTGTATGTGGAGTGCAAAATTCTGGAGAAGTTGTGCCTGAAGAATCACAACAAGAAGCCTGTTGCAGAAATTACAAAGTGGAGCGAAAGTCTTGCCATTGAGCAAATGCTCAACTTTCTAGAGCGGTTTTTCAAGCACTGCCTACACGACATAAGGCTACACAGAAGATTAGAAATTTTTTCTTGCCGCCTACGAGACACATTGTTGACCGACGACAAGGAAGTAGATGAAGATTACATGCAAGATTTTGCCAACATTTTATTGAGTCTCGTTGATTTTGCCAAGTTTGATCCTTCAAAACTGGTGAGATTTGAGCTAATTGATTCGAAAAACTCCACATTGTCCAGTACCTCGTCTGATGTTGAGAACGTGGTGCACGACGAGTATGACGACACATACTCTCAAACGTTCAGCATCAAGAAAGTATCGGAGGACGAGCTTCAACTGAGAGCGGCTGCATGTGTGCACATGTATGGATCAATGCGCAAGATAGGGGCATTCCAGTCAATTATTATGCTGAATCGATCTGGCATGGATGCATTTAACAGATGCATGAGTCGCTTCGCTCCAGCTGACATTGCGGTAATGAAAATGGAAGCCGAAAACGAGCATTCGGGAAAAACAGTTCTTTATGCTTCACAAAAGGAGAAGCTATCAGAATTGATACAGATCTTCAAACGAGAACTGAGTGAAGACATGGTAGACTTGAGTCACTCAGAGGTCTGTCAGTGTTACCTTTCAATGCGATGTATTGACGTCACGAAAGAAAAGGTCCTAAGACTCCGTCTAGTGTACAAATGGGGTTCGGAGGCAGTCGCTCTGGACAGTAACGACTTTGTGACCTTTTCCGATTGCTCAACTGGCGGCGCCTGTTTACCAGAAGTAAAAAGTTTTGGTAAGTTTGAGTCGTTTATTATTTGTTTCTGTTTATCCCACCCTAAATCGCGTCCATAAGTTCAATAAATCCTTTCTTTGTTGCGTGCAGCGTTCGAATGGTCAATATTTTTAACACATGTTCGATACTCGCAGGCTATTATACATTGTAATCAGTGTCTATCCATCTTACTGGCTTGGGGCCTACAGTTAATTCTGAACATCAGTGCACCCTTAAGATAATTCAGTTTTCTACTACTAGATACAACTGAATAATCTAAGTTGCGTGCGCAATGCATGAGTACCAAAAATGATGCCAAGTCGCGTTTGGCGATTGGCACTCAATATTACAAGGTTCTATTTCAATCGGGAATTCTTTTGTTTCCAATAAACTCCTTACGAAAGCTGTATCGTTCTTGCAAACTTTTAAAGGACTCCGGCATGCATGCGTGAAAACAACGGGCAAAAGGAGGCTTGATGTTGGGGTAGACGGCCATGGTAACGCTCGAATCGTTTTCAAATCCCTGCTTAAGGCTGATTAAAGTGGGAAAAAAAATGTGTATCCTATCTTGAAAAATTCCTTCCTCGTGGAAGAGTTAGCTATAAGAAGGAACGCGAGACTAGGCAAATGCTGGAAGAAGGGAGGTATAAGAAGACAGGAAGGGAAAGAGGGGAGAATAGGGCATCACCTTATAATCTAACTTGTGAGAAAAACATTTCTTTCACTCAGGTTTGGACAACTCACTTATGTCTGAAGATTTCGAAGGGCTCTCACTGACTTCTGTTGGTGGCAAATTTCCCTCGACTTCTTTTGATGAGTTACAGAAACACGGCAGTGCGCATTGCGAGAAAATCGGTAACGAAAAAGTGCTCTTCTTTAGTTCTGTAGATTTCCTCATAACTCTAAAACAAACGTCGAACGTCTAGTACTAAGTTCAGAGTACAGTTGAACCTCTTTCAGGGGACACCCTTGGGAGCAAGACAAGTGTCCTCTGAATAGAGGTGTCCAATGTTCTCTGAACTAAGTACTAAAAGACGTTCGTTTTAGAGTTATGGGTTGGGGTTTGTTAATAATTAACCAACAGATAGAATATTTTTCTTTTATTCTGCCTCGGGAATCTGCGGCAGTAGTTGTTTAAAGCGGCTAGAAAGTGATATTTAAAAATCGTGAATAACTTATCTCTACGATCTTTTGTGTTGAGTCCCCAAAGGTGCAGTACATCGATTTGAGTGAGATAATTCATGTTTTGAAAGTTCTCACCATTGTGACTAATGAACACGTTTAACTGACTTATCAACGATTTTTGTGGTCAGTCCCTTTTTGAATGCTGTAATGTGTCCCCTGAATGGAGGATAAACCCGGATTTGGGGCCCAGAAAAAGTCTCCCTTTCCGCTGAAATTTGAAGTTTTCGAAGTCTATTTTCTCGGACTCCCATGTGATCCTTTTCTTCGGATAACTTATTACATTTATAGCCCTAGAAAAGTGTAAAAAAGAATGCAATATGCGTGAAATTATTCTGAAAATTATTCAGAAAATCAACGTTTCTCAATTTCCTAATGAATTCCGTCTTAAGCTTTAGGGAGAAATATATAGATAATTTCAGAGAGATCCTGATGGCATGCCCTCCTCCACGTTTAGTCTTCCTACAAGTACTTTTTTTCTCATCAGCTGGTAAAAATTTATAGTAGTTTCTTACAACGTGAGGATAATTATTTCTGTCAGACGAATGAAAAGAGATGTTTGTTTCGTAATAAAAAGTTTCAGTTACGTGAGGTATCACAGAGAGTTTTATCGGTTACGAAATTAATGATTTCTAGATGGTGGTGGGATATATGTTAAATATGTGATGACTCTTGTTTCAGAGTATCACTTACATCAGACATTTAACCAAGTGACAAGCCCGCACACTTGTGTGATAGGCAACCAAGCTACTGTGAATGATCAGATGCCAAACCAAAGGTAAATATCGCCTGGAGCTAAATACAAAGGCAGTAGTCAGTAGTATTCTGATACCCTTTTTGTCGGTAAGAGATGTAATAAACGATTAAACGCGTGGCGCTTATGTAACCAACTTGAGTTGCCTATGAATGCAAAGAGTATCTCAGCCTTTTGCCGAATTGACACTTAAAGACGAATTATGCGATAGATGCCGCGCAAGATTCAGGATTTGGCTCTGGGACCGGCAATATTACTCCGAACTGAATTTCACCCTTAGCTTTAATTCCGTCAGTACAACATTTTAAGAACAGGCTTATTGATGATCAGAGTCAGTATCGACCAGCTAATTAGCTCATGGGTCAAATAGTGCTCTTGTCAATTCCTTTCCTTTCCTTTTCTTTCTAATGGATCATTCTTGTGTATTTGGACTTACCTTTTTTCTTACCATCGATTATGTTTTGCCAAATGTTGATGCATGTATTTTTTTAAAAGGCAGTCACTGACATTGTCGTTGACCGATGTTTTGGTCTCTTTTACTTCAGTTTTACTGTACTAGGCGCATTAACGTCTATTAAATTACGCCTAATTGCACTGAGTGAGCCCTTTGGCTAAAAAGAGTGACGCTTGCAACTGCAATCGGCGACAAAATTGTTGAGACATTGTACTTAAATAGGGTGACTTCGGAGAACAAAAGAATCCGCACCCCTCCCCTGTCACCTCCATTCAAAGTTGGGGTGTTTGTTGTTTTCTATAGGTAGCTAGAACAAGGGCACAACATTGCACGTAGGGGATGGGGGAGGAAAGCTATATTTCCTCCTTTTGAAGTTCATAAAACGTAAAAAAGCCCACTTTTGGGCGAAGTGTCTCAACTCATTTTGTCGCCGATTGTCGGAACCGAAATCTTCGCGCTGTTGTCCTATTAGCACCGGTTAGGAGACGGTAACTAGTTGAGATTACTATATTCACCGGGTCGTTTTTCAGAAGATAGATAAGATACCCATATAATCCGTTTCCTGTGTTTTTCGAGGGAAAATTAGTTTTGACAATCTTTGTACTCAGTAGTGATTTCAAGTAATTACGCAGCATACCCACGTACAGAATGATTGATTTTCCTCTGGTAACTAAGTGTGATCGGTAGGAATCGATGGCAGATAATATTTTGTATTTGAATATATCCCTAGTAAGTTGGAAGTGTTTATTCGAAGTTTGGCTATTTGATAAGGGTGGGATGGACGATAAAATAGCCATGATTGCTATGCGCAGGAGAATGTTCAGGAAAACTGTTCCAACTTCTAATGCACAGCTAAGCTGCATAGCATCGCTAAATCTGTGCAGCAGATTCGTTGCCCATATACCCATAAGGGTCTTTGAAGAATGTACTTTACAGTAGAAACTATGAGGTCAGGAGGAGACTGGCCACGAGTAACCACGAGTAACCAACTTTGTTCAAAAAAGATAATTAGATTATTAATCTTTTATACTCATCGTGGTTACTCGTGGTTACTCGTGGAAATTCCTCCTAAAGAGCAATTTTAGCCATTATAACTACTTTAATGCCTAGAAATCTATTAAGTTTTCTATCCTTTTCACTTTGTTGTTTGTTTCGATGCGTTTCGATAAAGGAGAGAATAAGAAATCGTGCCCGACACGCCACGTCGCACGATGTCAAGGCACGGTTAAGCGTGACACGAAATGTCACGCACTGAAAATAATGAAATCGCCTCATTCTAATTGTTCTAAAATAGGTATGATGAAGTCAAACATAACAAATAAAAAGCCACCAGGGGTCTTACATCCCAGCATAAAAAAAATGAATTCAGTTAACTTTCTAAAGGACGTACGGCCACTTTTGAGATTCAGACAATCGGCGACAAAATTGTTGAGACATTGTACTTAAATAGGGTGACTTCGGAGAACAAAAGAATCCGCACCCCTCCCCTGTCCCCTCCATTCAAAGTTGGGGTGTTTGTTGTTTTCTATAGGTAGCTAGAACAAGGGCACAATATTGCACGGAGGGGATGGGGGAGGAAAGCTATATTTCCTCCTTTTGAAGTTCATAAAACGTAAAAAAGCCCACTTTTGGGCGAAGTGTCTCAACTCATTTTGTCGCCGATTGTGGTTCCGGTTACAATACATTTCCCGGGTACATTAACATTTTGTTATGAATTATTTCTTTCCTTTGCCTTCACTTCACTGTAGACATTCACTGTGAAAAGGACTGTATCTTCGTGCGGGGCCCTGCTGAAGGCAGCGTCTGCTGTCATTAGGTACTAGACGTTGGCGAACCGTATTAAATAGAGGTCTCTAAGAGTGGCAGGGTCTTGCTAAAAGTTACCATACTTAACTGCGGTCAAACGTGACAAATTTACAAAAGCTAAGGTTGTAAATTTTAATCTGCTGCCAATTTACTAAACTTTTTAGGGGTTTCCTCGAAACGTTCAAAGTGTGTGAGAACTGATCCGGCTTTTCTGTTGCTCAACACGTCACAATTTTACTCCGGCAAGAAGCGTTTTCAACGAAAAGAAGCTCATTGTATTGAGAAAAATGCAAGGATAGTTAAATCAACTCATTCTTTTTGACATTCTTGGATGCGCTTGTTTTCACCTAGTGTAAAATAAAATCCCACTGAACAAAAAAAGCGCCTTGGACCTTTGACCGTGGTGGATACCATACTTGGCTAAGAACGGAGAGTGAAAAAAGCAAACTAAAACTTGGAAACGTTGGACCAAAGTCAACTTTAACAGAGTTCTCTAAGATAAATCGCTGAAACCGTGTCTGTAACGGTTTGTCCCAAGATTGGTGGACGAATTTTTTTAAGACTTCTCCTTGTTGTTTTAAGGTGAAGGTCATATAGTGCGTCAAAATTCTAGCGTAGTTTACACGCAAACCTGGAAGGGTACTCATAGATCGTTCTTTTTAATTAGTTTGACTAGTAATTTGTCTCATATCTTCTGTTTGTCTACAGAGCTCTCCCGGAGGGTTTGAATTGCTCTCCTAAGAGATCCATTACTGAAGGAAGGAGATCTTCACTAGAAGAAGAAGATTCTAAAGACAGATTATGAACTGGAAAATACAGCTCATGCCCGGTCTTGTTCGTATGATCAGCAAAGTAGTTAGTACTTTTAGCTCTGATGCCTCTTTTGGTCAACACGCCGTTTTGCCTTAAGGCATACATGTGGAATAGCATTACCCGATATTTTCTATAACCATGTTTATATAGAACTGAACTATTCAATTAAGAAATCAAAGGGAAAAGTTCTTACTTTCTTCGGTCTGAAACTAGCCTGTGCAGTTGGCGGTTTTGTCTGGCGAGCACTTAAATGAGCGGCGTAGGCGTACTTTGTGAGCGCGCGAACGAGCGGCCGCTCGCTTCTGTTCCCTCCATTGGGTCTCCCCCATAAATCTGCCTGCTGCGCAGGCTATTAGTAGAAAGTGGAATAGTTGTCATAAAAACAAGGTTATTCTCTTTGCTGGAATAGATGTTGAAACTTCTAAGGCCTTTCTTCTTAAGGCTGTGTAAAAATTACTGGATTAGTCTCCGTACCAGAATGATTGTTTTCTCTTTCCACTAAATCACTTGAAAACGCGAAAAACGAGGCTGGAAGTCTCTGTGGCTTTTTCGAACCTTGTACGCGTGGCATATTTTATCCTAGAAATTTTGAGAACGGGTTCCTGGAGCCAGGAAATTACTTGATTTAACTGATAATATGAATATTGCCTTCACTACATTCGTTCTCATCATTATAGTTATAACTTAGCTGAATATACTGAAATTATGTCTCTCTTTTTTACATGTATAAATTGTATCTGTTTTTTACGTTTAGAGAAGTTAGGAAGCCTGCTATTGTAAATCGAATTTGATGGTTGTCTTTCAGCTGACGTAATATTATCATGAGGTTAAAACGTTTCAATTTGTAACGGCTTGAAGGCTTAAAACTCGATTGCCAACAGTTGCCGACCCTGGTTGGTGATAGTTCTGACTATGAAAGAATGTTGTATATATATCTGTAGATAAAAATATCATCGTAATTGACTTAGACGAACAAAAACAGATATTGGTATAGAAAGACATTTACTGCTTGTTTAGCCTCTTCAGTAGACCTCCTATTTCATTTTCTGTAAAAAGGTCGTTTACCAAGTTAGTCGGAAGGATAAAAAGGCGATCGCGGCCAAAAGCGTGAAAGGGTCAAAGGGAGCAGTTGAAAATTTATCAATTGAATATTTTATTAGTACATTGTGGTTACTAGTGGTCAACTTTGTAACTTTATTTCATAGCTTCCAAATTTTCTAACATAATGAAATTTGGGGCACGACCTTGCAAGTTTCAAGCTTTCAATTGTACAGTGTAAGAAAAAGAAAAACGTTGTGAACTGACTTCGACAAAGATGGAGGAGCCCCTAACCAATTTCGTCCACAACCGCCAGTAAGCGCCCATGCATATCGGCTAATCCACGTCCCTTCTGCCGCTTGTGACGCTATCATTTTCAACGTTCAAGAACAACTTTGTCATCGTACTAGTGCAGGCGGAAGAGATCTTTCAAACCGTGTAATGATAGGCACGATTCAGTCAAGAAGGCAGCTGAAGAATTCCGAAGGAAATCTTGTTCCACCAGCTACCTGCACTTCCTTCCATATGATCCGGCCTACGATCCTAAAAGCTTTCCCAAAAACTTTTCTTACCGAAAGGAAGCCTAGAAAATGTCCAGCAAAAGAAAAAGTAAGGGGCAAGAAAAGTGAAACGGAGGGAAGTGAAAAAGCGAAAAGTTATAGTCACAAAATTTTGCTTTCTGCGCATGTTCAAACTTCGGAGGCTGATATGATATTTGGCATCTGAAACAGAAGACACAAGAAGGTCATTACCTGCGTGCAGACGTCTCCTGAAATAGGAGACGTCTGCACGTAGGCAAGAAGGTCGTGAAGTGCTCGACCTATAAACGGAATTTTCATCATTTTTGGCTCTTAATAGAAAGGCAGTGACTGTGAAATAGTTCGTAGTATGATTTGTAGTGGCATTTGGCGTAAATACCACGAGTGATATTTCGGAATTGTTATACGTAATTTCACGAGCCGTTAGGAGAGTGAAATTTGAGACAATTTGGAAATATCGCGTAGAAATCATGCTATTATTTGTTTATAGTACTACCCGCAAAAGGTTTGTAATTTTCACATGTAGGTATTTCAAATTAAGCTGAAATACCACTGCTCTAAGCCAATCAAATTGCAGTTATTTCTCATGTAGTAGTATAAGGAGCTAGATTCCCAGGAGCGAATGGGTTTCACTTACGAAGCCAAATTGAAACAACACAGGCCTTTTCTCATTCCTGTAAAGAAAAGCACCATCTCGAGGCTTGTGTCGACCAAATACAGTGATTTGTATGACATTATCCACCCAAGCATTAACCTTTGCTTTATTTTGTTAGCTCTCTGAAGCAAAAGCAATCTACCAAGAGTTTTGAAACACACTTTCAGCGTATTTAAACTATCTGTTTTTCTCTACCTGCCTAGATTAGCCCTGCTATTTGCGGGTCGAGAGCAGTTTTGTCAATTTTCGTTTCAACCACTGAAATTAACTTGCAACTTAAAACTTCAACGCTTTTAAGAGCGACTTGTTTTATACGGGCAGAAAATTGTACGAGAAGTGCACAGCGTAAACGAGTCCCTAACAACGCACTTTCAAGATCTTTCAAGATTTCAATGGCCGTGTCAAGTACAATCATCATTGTACACTCACCTTCACTCCTCGCTGGCAGCTATTTTCTGGGTGGGAGGGGAGGGTCGGAGGGTAGCAAGGCTACCCTAGTCCCCTCCCCACCTTTGATAATATTTAATGAATGGGGTCTTTAAACTGGAAGACCCTGACCCTTTTTTATTCCTGGAAAGTCTGTGGTTTGGGATTAGGTTTACTCTGAGACAAGTACGTAAAGCCCATGTTGCTTGACCTGGCTCAGACTGCGTGAGCTATAAACTGCCTAAGAACAATATGTTTGATCAAGAAATTTGTTTTTTTTAAAACAAATTTAAAAGTAATTCCACGTAGAATATATATAGTTGCTCATAGAGAATTAGTTTGCAAACAATTCATGTTTTCAGTTTCCCATAAAGAACAGCTGTTAAGGTCAAAAGAGAGTTAGCCTGCGATCATGCCCTCTCCCTTTATCTCTGTAATCTGTTTTCGAGAGGAGGGCATGATAGATTTCTTTCACAGAATGCAAAAAAGCCAGAATCTGGACTTTTTTCTGATTGGATAGGAAACAATACGGATGATTTGCGCTGTCCCGATTGGCCAAAATGCCGCCATCTGTTAGTTGTTGTTGATTTCAGTCTGCATTTTTACTTGCGTAATGAGCAGTGAATACACAAGCGAGTTCGTTATGAAATTTCTGCCTGCTCAGTTTTATTGAATTTGAAGAATGTCTAAATAGAAATTTCATCCATTGAAATATTTTCCATTTTATCGTATACTAAAAATTGCAGTAACAAAATTCACCGATCATTTGAATGCCATTTTGATACCGGCTACAAGTTAAAGAAGCGACAAATGGGTTCACTGCAATTCATGAATGGAATCTTAATTGAACGGGGTTTAACTGTAATTCCTCCTTCAGAACCTGAAATTATTCTGAGCGATCTTCCCTTTCACAGCACTTTTCAGTTCGTGAAATATGGTGCTTCAGCCTAATTTTTTTTCCTCTGCTTTCGGCACAGAACGAAGTCAACGAGCTTTTACCAGTGAATTCTTTATTATTTGTAGCTGTTAAATAAAGGTACGGCAGCTCCAGTTAGCTGCAGTATTTCATCACAAAAAAAAAAACATTTAATCTTTTTTGGGAAGCGCCATCTGAACGTACTTAAAAATTTTCTTTTCGCTAAAATTGATTTCGAAAGAGACATTATTCCAGCCATTATACTACGACATAAGAAATTTCTGCAATTTGATTGGCTTAGAGCAGTGGTATTTCAGCTTAATTTGAAATACCTATATGTGAAAATTACAAACCTTTTGCGGGTAGTGGTATAAACAAATAATAGCATGATTTGTACGTGATATTTGGCATGAATACCACTCGTGATATTTCAATCGCCTAACGGCTCGTGAAATTACTTATAACAATTTCGAAATGTCACTCGTGGTATTTATGCCAAACACCAAATATCACTACAAATCATGCTATTACCTCTACAAATTTGATTCCCATCTGGTAAACGCTGATTGGCTAATAACATGACAGGAGACGTTTGATTATGTACATCAGGGGGCTGTTGATGGATTGCTAAATGAATGTATTAGGCGTTATTTTTTTCCCTCTCGAGCCAAAGAAGCAAAGAAACAAAAAAAAATTAACGCCTGATCTCAGGTTAAACGAGAGTACGAAGGGCATTTCCACAACAGGTCTGTATCTTCTTCCTGACTCGGCCACGTGCATAAATTTTTACCTCAAACAACACTTTTTTCTAACGTTATCAAATCTTCCGATATTCCGCGTTGGTCTTTTTAAGGTGACTCGACCCAGTTATTTTGTGAGGTTACCATCCTACTTTGAAGCTCTCTGGTATACCAACTTTACTTTGATCGCAAGTCTAACATATAGCATGGATTACATATAGATCAATCTTCAATATAGTATAAAATTTTTGGCGATCGGAGTAAATGTCAAGTGGTTATAGTGCCACGCCTCTTTGGGGTCTGAGTCGAAATTCTGCTATTGCCGTCATTTTTTCGTGAAAGTCTCTCGGCTACATATAGTGCGTATTAGTGCCTTGCGTTAAACACAGTTTCACCAAAATCGCAAAGACCCAATGCGAGAAATTCAGCGGTTCCCAAATTTAGGTCATAATTTATGCGAAAATGATAAGCAGACTTACTTGATTATATCTAATAAACTATGAGCACGCGTGCAATGACCGCGCTTGGCTGACTGCCGAATGCTCACCGAGATATGATAATTTTGGTTGAGAAACTAGAAGGGTTCCCGTCACGTAACGTCTACGCATGAACACCCTCAGCGCTTTGCTTAGCATTACCTCTAAGCAAGACGAGCAAGAAAGATTCTAGAGCGAAACCAAGAGTTACAAAAAAACTGACAGTGCTTACAAGTTGCAAAGGCACAAGAAGCACGAGAATTGATTAAAAATCGTGAGTTAAACTTCTATGTATCACGCCATCGCCTGTCTCATCGTACCAAAATTATCATATCTCGGTGAGCATTCGGCAGTCAGCCAAGCGCGGTCATTGCACGCGTGCTGAACAAGAATGTTGTATCATGACAGACTAGAAACAATAGAAAACTTCCAAGCACAAACTCAGCCAAAACGCTAAAAATCTTCAGTGTTTACTCAAGTTTGGGCTTATAGAAGATAATGTCACAGTTTTTCAATGATCATGAAATTCAGAATCCGGGTAGTTGGTTAATCAGTTGTGGCCCTGAAAAAAATTGAAGGAAAAAAAACTACGAATTTTTAAGAAAATGCTTTTTTCGTGAGAAGGATTCCTAAACGCTGACAAACGTCCACAAATAGCTAAAACTATAATTTGTATATGCTTGCATTGCTCGAAATCGCTCGCATTTACAAGGCCCTAAAGCTTTTTGCTGACTTGCGACGGGACCCATCTGTTATAAAGATATCCAAAATAAAGGAATAAGTCTTCTAGGTTATTAGATATAATCGTGCAAAGTTTCATTTTCGCATTAATTATGACCTAAATTTGGAAACCGCTGAATTTCTCTCATTGGGTCTTTGCGATTTGGTGAAACTCAGTTCAACGCAAGGCACTAATACGCACCATATGCAGCCGAGAGATTTTCACAAAAAAATGCCGTCAATAGCAGAATTTCGACTCAGACCCCAAAGAGGCGTGGCACTATAACCACTTGACATTTACTCCGATCGCCAAAAATTTTATGCTATATTGTGGATTGATCTATATGTTATCCATGCTATATGTTAGACTTGCGATCAAAGTAAAGGTGGGGATACCAGAGAGCTTCAAAGTAGGTTGGTACCCCCACAAAATAACTGGGTCGAGTCACCTTAACCTTGAGAAGCTCGCTTCTAAATCTCGTACTCAGACCTCCCAGGGTAAGATGCCTTGCGGCACCAAGCCGAGCCTCATTTTGCGGAATTATACACTTCGCCCCCACATGCACTTCCGTCTTCGGTCGCTAGATCAGAAGTGTTCCCTTTGCCTGAGTATCAATTTCTCAATTTCTCGGATGGGATGGAGGTATGATACAGACGGTAAGAAGTTTCAGTCCGTTGTAATTTAAATTTTACTCATTTCTTGCCGGATAGTCTTGATTTTCAGTTCAGTTTCTATTTAGTATTTGAACCGTCACAATTATAATTTGATTCTCGGCATTAGTTTGCATTTCAACCGACTGGTCTGTTTTTTTTAACCAAGTAGTTCATCGCTATGGAGTAACATATTAAGGAGTTCCAGCGTAATCGCCAACCATATGTGCACGGTTCAACTAGGTCTTCTCTCGACTGGCATATTAATGCCCCACAGAAGTATGAATGTTTTAATAAAGTAAAATATAGATCAGTGTATGAAACTTAACATCTATTGCCCAGTGTATTGCCATTTCAATTACCTCCTTTCAGTCGGTTAGTTGACTCAACCAACATTAACTGGCTTGAAATTAAATGTTCGTGAACAGAGACGCTTTCCAGAGGGAGGGCTTAGCTGACTGTGACCTCAACGGAAATACGGACGTCCCGCTCAGTTAAAATATAAAGAAAGCTAAAGATGGTCTTATAAACAGGTGTGCTTTTCCTGACTCGTTCAGCTGTAGCAAAAGAACAAAATTTAAAAGCGTCGTTAAAATCCTAGTGCACAACCTATACCGACTTAGGCCTTCTTTAGCAGGCTTTCGGATCTTGTTTACTGTGGGTAATGTCGACTGAGATATCGGTCGACATAGCGGTCGATATAGCGGTCGACAGTCGGTCGATAGTCGGTCGATAGTCGGTCGATAGTCGGTCGACAGTCGGTCAATAGTCGGTGGATAGTCGGTCGATAGTCGGTCGATAGTCGGTCGATGGTTGGTCGATAGTCGGTGGATAGTCGGTGGATAGTCGGTGGATAGTCGGTCGATAGTGAGATAGACTATCGGCCGAGTATCGGTCGATATTTCGACGATGCACCTCGACTTACTATCGGTCATTTGTCGGTGATATATCGGTCAACTGTCGGTGGTATATCAGTCAACTGTCGGTGGTATATCGGTGAACTGTCGGTGGTATATCGGTCAACTGTCGGTGGTATATCGGTCAACTGTCGTTCGAATATCAGTCGTGTGTTAATTTATCAGGTGAGTCCAATGGCTTTTTTCTTTTTTTTTTAAGCAAAGACGTCATTAAGTACTGTTATCATGCGATGGGGGAACATGTGGCAGTGCAAGGCGCGATTACTCTATGAAGCGAACCGAAGAGCACTGGGAACTAAGGACATGATAACCATTTTTTTTTTTTTCCAGTTTGTATCATCACCGATCGTCTGAGTTTTAGCTGTTAAACAGAACCTGTCTCAGCTTAAGTTGAATCTGCTGCTCCTGTGGTCCAGCAGTCGAAGAATACTTAATAAGGACATAGTTAATTGAGTGGAATGGTTATGAAACCCGTCAGACTCCTTTGTTATATGTTTTTGTGGACCTGAAAGTGCACAACGTTCAAAAGAATTCCTATCATTTTGATTGTATTGACCAATAAAAACGTTGCATTAATTTATTCCGTAACAATTTGCCAACAGAAAACGAAGGATTGTGCACTTTCACGGTACTTCCAACATAAACTGCAGCACTGTTGTTTTTATCATTAATGTTTGCCGCTTTTCATAACCAGTCTTCTCTAATAACTATGATAAGGACGAGTGAAATGACTGCTCCCGCAGTCCCGAAGTGGACGAATAATGAATAGGAAAACGCAGTTGATGACATGCTTTAAGAGCGAGGAATACACATCTTTTATTATCGGCCTTTGACCTGCTTCATCACGCCAAGTTCTCGTTTGTGCAGAGACCACAAATTAAACCTATATATTTCTGCATTGAAGACGGGAACAGTCCTTTGTTTAACGATCACTTATTGATAAAACGCGCTGATAATGCGCCGAGGAAGGGGACAAAAATATCCAGCAGACTGAACGCATTCACTTATTGTGGGAATGATTTCAATTTACAGCAAGGAAAATACTAATACGTTCTCATTACATTATCCTGTCCTTTTGCTTGTCCTTTCGCTTTATATTTATATTGTGTTCAAAATAAAGACGACCATGCGTATACAGAAATTAATCTTGAATGGTAAGTCACTTTTGGTCATCCAATAAAAGGAAAACAGTATGCGCCGCGTTAACATTAATATTATCTTAACTTGTTAAGGAAAAACAAGTTTTAAAAAAATGAACTGCAAATACATTTTTTCATCAATGTCGTTCTGAGTCGGTTGAAAAATTCTCGGCATAGGAAAAATCAGCCAGATATAGGCCTTACACGGTGGGAATAAATCACATACCAAGAAGCTGAAGGCCTATCATTCTCACTTAGCGGACTTCTTCATGATTCAATTCTAGCCGGCTACGCGTAGCAAGACACCCCCACCCCTAAAAAAAAACCAGGGGAGGAAACGTCTGCGAAAAGGTGGTGGGCATCGATACAGATAGGCTAAATCCCGTCCACATGAATTAAAAGAAAAGGCTAGATAAATGACTAATAGCTATTATTCCGGAATTTTGGCTAAGTACATTGAAGTTTGAAATTAATAAAGCAGAAACACAATTTAAAAAAACAGTTAGGTCCAAGCTAGAAAATGCTTTCTAATTTCTTGTTTTCCAAGCCAAAAATTTTGTAGGAAATGCTAAGTGTCGACCGACCATCGACCGAGTGTCGACCAATTACTGTCCGATACATCGGTCAAGTATCGACCAACTATCGACCAACTATCGGCGAAGTGTCGGCGAAGTGTCGGCGAAGTGTCGGCGAAGTGTCGGCGAAATGTCGGCGAAGTGTCGGCAAAGTGTCGGTGAACGAAAAGCTATATCGGCCGAGACACATCTGGAACGACTATCGACCGTGTCTCGACCGAGTGTCGACCCACTATCGACCGACTATCGACCGACTATCGACCCCTATGTCGACCGACTGTCGACCGAGTGTCGACCGACTATCGACCGAGTGTCGACCGAGTATCGACTGACTGTCAGCCGAGTGTCGACCGCTATATCGACCGCTATATCGACCGATATCTCGGTCGACATTACCCACAGTAAACAAGATCCCTTTCTTACATATAAGGCGTATGTGATTAAAGCGGCGTCTGAACCGGGCCTTAGCACTTGTAAAGCTATAAAACGTGATTCTTTGTACAAAGGGTTAACCGGAAGCTCATGTGGCTACTCCAAAAAATAGAAAAAGTAATTTGCTTATGATCTGCAGAGACTGAGGTTTTAAGTGTTAAAAAATTATAAAACTACAAGCTAATTATTTCAGCAAATATTTCAATTACGTTTGCACTCCATTTTCTAGTAATATGACCTGTGATCCTAAAGTCTGAGCGAAAATAATGGCTACCGCTCCAGATCCAGAGGAAATCCTTCGTTCAACCAGAGGAAATGATAATTTTAAGCGCATTACACGACTTTTAAGTGGAGGAACCAGCCTATTGAGGGAGATTTTTGACTCCATATGTCCTCCAAGCAATCTTCCTACGATTCTCAGCAATCCAGTAACAAAGAACCAGCTAAAAGCTGCAAAACTCACCATGCCACAGTGGCACTGTCTTTGTCCTTCCCCAGGGGTGTACGGCAAGTCAGCAGATTTTGATGTCACTCTGCTAGTCCGTTTGCTGAGGACGATATGCAACCTCACACCTCCCACCACTGGATGGGATGCACTATCAGCTACTGAAGATCACAGTTCAACAGCTGATATAGCAAGAATAAAGTATTAG